AAAAAAAAAGGAAGGCAGACTTACTGAGTGAATTCCAAAGCGCGTTGAAAGAAGTCGCATTTGAAGGGGTGCGCCGGAACGTTTGCTAGCGCGCCGTTTCCCAAGACGCCGAAGATGGCGACGCACACGTCGAGTGTTCGGCGGAGGGGTTCGGTGCTCGGCCGCCAAAAGAACCGGCTCGGGTCTAAAAAAAAAGGAAGGCAGACTTACTGAGTGAATTCCAAAGCGCGTTGAAAGAAGTCGCATTTGAAGGGGTGCGCCGGAACGTTTGCTAGCGCGCCGTTTCCCAAGACGCCGAAGATGGCGACGCACACGTCGAGTGTTCGGCGGAGGGGTTCGGTGCTCGGCCGCCAAAAGAACCGGCTCGTGTCGTTTCGACCGAGGGAACCGTCGATGGAGCAAACTAAGAGTGCTTTGGTGTCAAAAGGAGCCTTTGGACGTGCCACTCGCTGGCAAGCCATTTGGCGCTCGCGGACCTCAGGTAGGACCATTCTTGCCTTGTCTCGTCTTTCGTTCCGTTTCAAGTGCGCGTGCTGCCGAATTTGCCTCCTCCCGCGTCAAATCAGTGACGAAATCAATCAATCAATCAACTCGTTTTTCACACAAACACTTTTTGTGTCTGTGACGGGAGCGCTTTGCCCGACTTGCTCAGCTTCTGTGCGCTCGCAAATCGGAAGTGGTTCAATTCAGACCGCAGCGTCGGCTTCACCCCGAGCAACACAGACACGTGAAACAATCGAATTTCAGGCGACGTAAAAACTCTTTTACTTAATATTGCTAATTGCCTTTTCGGGTGCGCCCATCCCTCCTAAATTTCCGTTTTGATGATCATTTCAAAATGAAACCCCGTCCCTCTGTTTGAAAGAGACGATGCAAAAGAGGTCAATTTCAACAAAACGAAAAAAAAAAAAAAGGAAACGCTGAGCCTTTGAAATTATTTTTTTTCCTGAAAAGTGAGCTGACAAATTGGAAATGACAAAAGAGTTCACTCCACACGGCAAAGTCCTTTACTGGTGCCTTTTGTTATTTTGTTGCATGTGTTAAATAAAAGCCGGGAGACGGACGATGTTACCTGAGCGCAGCGCAGCGTCAAACCCGGGAGCCGCGCCGCGCCGCAGGGACCGAAAAGAGGTCAATTTCAAAAAAACGAAAAAAAAAAAAAAAGGAAACGCTGAGCCTTTGAAATTGTTTTTTTTTCCTGAAAAGTGAGCTGACAAATTGGAAATGACAAAAGAGTTCACTCCACACGGCAAAGTCCTTTACTGGTGCCTTTTGTTATTTTGTTGCATGTGTTAAATAAAAGCCGGGAGACGGACGATGTTACCTGAGCGCAGCGCAGCGTCAAACCCGGGAGCCGCGCCGCGCCGCAGGGACCGACGACGACAAAGGTGCTGACGTCAGACCGAGCAAAAAGTTCAGGAGTCAAACGCACGCGTGCTTTCACTGGATTTGGACACAATCGGGCACGGCAGGCGAGAGAACTCGGTTCCACGACGCTCTCGTCTTAACGTTGAATGAACACCAAAAGGAAGAGTTTGAAGCTTGTACCCGGTTTTTGTCTTTCGGTCAGTTGCGCAGGGTGGCGTCAGTTTGAGGGCCGTCTCTCGGTTAGGCGTCTTTTTGTTTCGCTCGGGTGTGCTGTGTCGGGTCGGGGGTCGCTGGGTCCGCTGTAAGCTAGTCGCGCATCGGTAGGTCAGGCGGTCGGCTGTCTGACGGCGGCGGGCATCCCTCCCGCCGGCGTCCGCCGGTTGGTTGCGTCGCGTCTGTCGGGTGTCGGGTGTCGGTCGGTCGGTCGGGTGTCTTCTGTCTGTCTCGTTTGGGTGCCGGGAGGTTTGGTGTCAGCCGGGCCTACGCTTCCGGACGCTTCGGCGTCAGTCGTCCGTCTCAAAGGTGTGCAGGTACGTCTTGAGGCTCAGGACGGCGCCGTAGCTCTGGTTGTTGGCCCGGTAGAGGTCCAGCCCGGTGAGTATCTCCACGTCTCGGACCCTGGCCGTATGAAGATGCAGCAGCTCCTCCACCCAAAGCCGCTCGCTGTCTCCGCTCTGCGCGCAGGACGGGCGCGCGTGAGTGAGCCCGCCTTAGCCGGGAGCCTCGTCACGGTGGGGCGGAACTCACCTTGCAGGTCTCGCTGTTGTTGTCGCGGTGAGGAATCAGGAAGGCGAAGACGCGCAGATCGCCGTCGCACTCGTCCAGCGTTTGGTTGGCTCGGCGGCAGGCGGTCACCACGGTGAAGTAGTGGGTGGGCACGGGCGGCGTGCCGGGAGACCACCTGCACACGCGACCGCGGTTACCCCGGGTGACCGTCGGCGCTCGCTCACCTCGTGCTGATGAGTGCGCGCTCACTCTTGAATCTCCTCCAGGGTATCGCGGCGCCCATCGTAGTTGTAGTCAAAGACGGGTCCCGCCAGCACATTGATGCCACGGTTCTCTTGTGCGTAGCGCCGAAGCAACGCCCCCTGCAGGTAGCGCCACACTCCTGAGGGCACACGCAGACGCGTTAGCTCACCCGAGGGCCGCCATGAACCCGAGATGCGGAGGGACGCTCCGTCCCGGGAAGGACAGCGCCTCCTTTGTCTGGCTAGCAAAGACGCCGAGAGCTCTGCTCCGACGTCGCGGCGCGCGCGCGACACACAGACGGCGCCTGACTTACTGGTGAAGGCGGGAAACATAGGCGCCGTGTTGGTGATGAGGAAGGCCTCATATTTGGACTCGGGTGACGACGCCAAATCTGTGGACCGGAAACCAAAAAAAACAACAAGTTGACTCGACACGCGGGCGCCGCCGCCGCCACTTGGCTGCCGCACGCACGCGTCTACCGGGTGGGAAGAGGAAGCCGTAGCCGAGGAGGCGGTTCTGCTCGTAGGCGCCGCAGCTGGCGGCGTGCTCGGCTGACACTCGCTGGTCTCTCCGCAGGCACGGGCTGCCGGCGGAGCCTTCCGCAAGAGGAACCGTATCGTCCTGGTGAAAAACAGCCCGGTCACGGTTGCCCGAAGGCACACCTGCTCACCGACTTCCTCCGCCACCGAAGCCCGCGCTCGCGTCACCCGGCCGGCACCGGGCGCTCGCCGAGCCGACGAGGCGGCGGCGCGCGCATGCTGGCGTACCTGCGGCGTCAGCGTGAAGGACGTCCACAGCGGCATGGTGAGCTGGCGGCTGTACGCGCTGATGAAGTCGGAGTGGCGCAGCAAAGCGTAACGAGCGTCAAACATGACGGCGGGGCGGCCGAAAGGGAGCTGGGTCACGTCTGCGGGACAAGCAACAGATGAGGGGTGATGGCGTCCGAGGGAGCGGGGTTGGGGGGGGGGGTAAAGGGGAACGTTGGTTTCTCATCAAGGATTCCTTCAAGGTTGCCAACGTCCCCCCCCAAAAAAATATCGTGAGTCGGGGGGGTGGGGGGACACGTACTGTAGTCGTAGAAGCCGTCTTGGGCGGGGCCAAAAGCCTCCACGTTCGGCTCCACTTTGTTCTGCAAGCAGCCGCAAAAACGTCAGAGACCTTTTTGGGGGCAGGCGCCACTTGCGCCCACCCCGGCGGCTGTCGTCACCACCCCGGCTGACCTCGTCATCACAGCTGCAGCCGAGGTCAAAGGCGACCGCCGGCACGTCTGCCGGCTCCTCGTCCCGTGCCGGCGGCGACACTTCCTCCGGCATTCGCGGCTGGAAAGGCGGCGACTTCAACATGGCGTTCAGGCTCCCGTGCGTCCCGTTGTTTGGCGCCGGCTTCAGCCCGAGAAGGTCTGCGATCGAGCGAGGGCCGGGGTCACCTTCGCTTGCGTGCGTGCGCGCCCGCTCTCGGCGCTCGCGTGACTCACCGCACATGACGTTGTACAGCTCGATGTTGTCAAACTCGGGCACTTGGGTGCGGAACCGGAAGCTGGGCCCGTGTCCCATGAAGATGGTCTATAGGTCGAGCGGGAACTTGGTCAGGACTCGCGTGGAAAACCACCACCACAAATCAAGTCGACGCACCCGCATGCTGGTGATCTTGTTGTCAAAGCCGTGGTCACCGAAGAAACCGCAGCGCGGACGCATCTTTTCTGGCATTTTCCTGCGGGCGCGGCATCGAGGGCGTCAGATGCGAGCGAGGCGCTCAGGAAAATCAAAGGCCCTCATGAGCCCGCGCGTGACCAGAGCAGGACACGAGCGGGTTCCTTGGCGGCATGGGACCGATGCGGCGCAGGTGGCGCTCGCTTGGCTTCCGGCGGAGGCGCCGCGTGGAGCGTTAGTGAGCCCCGGGTGACAAAAAGCAGCGCGTGCGTCCGCCAGTGGCGTGTGACAAAGGTGGCGGGCCGACGAGCCGGTGACGGGGGGGGGGCGGCATTACCTGGCAACGTGCCACTTCCTCTCCATGAGCAGGTGCACGTCCTCGATGCGGCGGTTGTTGGCGTAATGGAGCCTCTTGGGCAGATGTTGCTTGAGGTACGGCGTGAAGTGCTGCGTCGCCATCTTGCACTGCAACCCGCAGAAGGTCAAAAACCACCCGCGACGCTCGCCGGGGCGGCGCCCCTCACTCACCGTCAGGTTGGCGACCACCTGCCAGGGGTCGTCTGTGGGGCGACACACATGCGGGCGCTCAGAACGGAGCGGCCGAGCTTCAGCGGGAAGACGGAGGGAAGCGGCGGACTGAGTCAAAGTTTCGCGAGCGGGACCTGTCTGGTGGCGCCGAGCCCGAGACGAGCAGCTGGCAAACCGGCTAGCGGACGCGGCGCAAGAAATCCGAGCGCAACCGGAAATGGGCTCCGTACGAGGAAGTCAGGTAGCGGTCCACCTCTGCCTCAGCGAGTCGAGTAGGAGGAGGTGGCCGCCAAGTCAGCAGGTAGCAGACGCCGAGCGGCGCGAGACGCGCGCGACGTGTCAAGCGGCCAGGTAGCGGGAGGGAGAAGATGAGCGCGACAGGAAGCGGACGCGTCGCACCGACTCAAGTTGAAGCGGGGCAGGCGACTGCCTGCGAAAGCGCAACGGTGACTCACAGTTGCCGGACTTGGGGTCCCGAGGCCGGATCCTGCCCAGCGAGCCCGGGATGAGCGTGATGTCATCGATGTTGAGCGGGTAGCTGCTGAGGAACTCGGTGCGGTCGCAGTGCGCCTCCTCCATCCCTGCGGGGGAGCACGCCTAAATTGTCATGGCGGCGGTCGTCCTGGCGGGGGGGGCGCAGCCTCACCGTGGTCGCCCACGACGATGACGTTGACGCAGCGATGGAGGTTCATCTGCTTCAGGCCGTTCATCAGCTGACCGATCACGCCGTCGATCTGCCGCAGCGTGTTGTCCAGCTGCGCAAACACGCATGATCATACTTGGCCCGAATGTTATTTTCTGCCGTTTCCGTGGCTACCGCCGAGTCCCTCCGCTCTCGTTGGGGATTTTTCAAGAGTGGCCCCGGATCGTTCCGTCACGATCCTTTTGTGCTGATTATGGAGGAAGGAATGAGAGCAAGGCCGATGGATGCTTCATCCTTCCTTCCTTCCCCAATCCTGAAGCGCAGACGTTGACGCGGAGCTTCTTTCGCGGTCTCCAAATTGGCCAAGTACGCGAGAGACTTGCTTTACGTTCTCACTGCATTTCTGATGCCCTCGTTGTGGATATTCCGATGATTTTTCATGTTTATTCTTGGGTCTACTTAGTGGACCACGGAGTTGTCCTCACCTCGTTGCTCAGCGGGCCCCAGCGATGTCCGAAGGTGTCGGGCTGCTCCGAGTGCACCGCGTACACGTAAGGCCTGTGGACACGCCAGCAGCGCACGACAACACAACGGGGTTAAAAGCGGACGCCGAGCCCGGCTGAAGCGCGCTTGTCTTGGACCTGTGTTGGTCAGGCAGTTTCAGCCACTGCAGGATAGTGAGGATGCGTCTCTCCAGTTCGATGACCCTGAACCCACGATGATGACATCATCAGCAAAGGGGAGTCCACGCTAACGGAAGCGACCGGTACCGAGTACGTCAGTAGCAGCGTCCACGTACCAGGGCCAGAAGAAGGTTCCGGCTTTGACGCCTTGTTCCTTTGCTGTGATCCAGATCTGCGGAGCAGACCGACGCGTGAGAGCAAAGAGTAAGTGACGTCGCCGCCCGTACGCCCGCCGCCGCCGCCACTCACCGGCTGCCCGCCCCACCATCGATGGTTTAGCTTTTCTCGGGACCGCAGATTGAAGGTGGCGTTGAACACCGGGTCGTGCATGGTGTTACCCACGATCCCGTGGGATTCCGGGTAGAGGCCCTGCCGAGGTGGGACACGGTGGAACGTCACGTACGGGGAGTCCCGTCACACCGCCGCCCCTGGCGAGCTCCTGAGGTCCTGCCCAGCCCCGGTGGACCTAGACCCCCACTGGGGCCAACCGCCACGTCGGGACCTCAGGGGTGGTGCCTGCGCGTCGGCAATTGTGGCCCATCGCGACTGCCCGGGTGCGAGTGGTCTCTGGCAGACCCCTGGGACGCCGCCAAGGTCCTAACAAGCCGCTGTCGGCTGCCGTGCGGGGACCCCTGGCGCGCGAACACCGGTGGCCCCCCCCGGTTTCGACTCAGCGCACATGAGCGGGTCACACCTGACTCACCGTGGCCAACGTGTACAAGTTCGGGAAGGTCTTGGTCGGGTAGACGGGCCGCATGTACGGAGCAGTCGTCCCGCATGATCCTGGTGGGAGGAAGCCGTTAGGCCGAACCTGTAGAAGACGCGGCGACTTGGCGCCGGGCAGGCGCTTGGGGGTCAAGGGGCCGAGTGGGTTTACGTTCCGGGGCCACCTACTGAGTTTCTGGATGTTGGGCATGACAGACACGCCTTTCTTCAGGTACGACGCTCGGAAGCCGTCCACGGACAGCATGATGAGCGGCGGTCGGACGAAACTGCGGGCCACCAGAAACAATACAAAACATTTGCTTGTCCCATGCCAGCGGAGCGCCGCTCGCCGGCGGGAGAGTTTCTTTCCGCCGACTCACCCGGCGGGACACTCGGCACTGACGATCTCCTCGCAGTCTCCTTGGAGCCATGACGCCTCGCCTGGACAATGGCGGCAAAAGCAGACGACTTAGGAGTCGGAGCCGAGTCAAGCGGGACGTTCGGCGGTACCTTTGCAGACCGCCTTGTAGTTGGAGCAGCAGTCTCCTTTCTCCAGGCAGTCGTCGGTGCAGTGGCAGGCGTGCTCGTCTTTCCTCTCCTCACCGCAACGCTCCGGACGGCACTCGAAGCGCCCCGCTAGCGACACGGGCCGCACGCGGGATCAACATGGGCTCCGTGCGCGCCGGCTCGCGTGTGTGCGGACTGACTGACCTGTTTTGAGGCAGTGCTGGTCAAAGTCGGAGCAGCAGCTGTAGTAGGTTTTACACAAGTTGTCGCAACGGCACCCCGGCGGCTCGGCTTCCTCCAGCTCGAAGCAGCGACCTTTGCACGAGCCTGACGAGCTCACCCACTCGGACACCACTGCGGGAACACGGCGGAGGGGAGCCGGGACGTTGCGGGGAGGCGGAGCAAAGCAGGAACACGAGACGGTGGGCATCGAGAAAGCGGACATGGGACGCGGCAGATAGCGGGGACGCAAGAAACCGGACTCGGGGGGTGGGGGGGGGGCCGGTCATCCGTGCCGTTCCAAAGTCTCCCGGAGTTTAGTCTCACCTTTGGTGTGCGCGGGCGGGGCGTCTCCGCCCTCAGCCGGTCGGCTGGCCTGAAAGACGTACGCCGCCGTGATGTCACAGCGCCACCCGCTCAACGCCAGCAGCAGCTGCACACGGACGTCATCAAAAGATACTTTGGCGTCTTTGTTGACACGCTCAAGCGCTTCATTGTCTTCGCCGTCATGATCGAGCCAAGTCGGCGCACGCGTGGATGTCCCGCGTGACAAGGAGACAAAGATGAAAAGAGACGCTTACCAAATAGTTGACGAGCATGTTGGTCAGCCAGACAACAAAGTGAAAAGTGAAAAGTGTCCAACGTCCGCCAGGAGAACTCGATGCGCCTGTGCAGATCGATGCGCGACCGCTCGCGCTCTGTTTCGCACTTTTTCTCTCTCTCTCGTCCTCCTGCCCCCGCTATGTGCTCCCCCCCTCCCACCCCAACTGGGTCATTGTTTGTCTTGTCCAGCCAATGAGAATGGAGCAAAGGGGGGGTGGGGGGTGGTTTTGTGTGTGTGTGTGTGTGTGTGTGTGTGTGCGTGTGTGTCCCCAGGTTTGTTGTCGTCTGTTAGAGGGCAAGCGTGGGGGGGGGGGTTCAACCATTTCTGATGTGCAAGATCCACCTGACATATGACCTCTGACCTCTTACTTTCTGGTGTGCCCATTAACATGGACGTTGGTAGTGGAGACTAAACACCATCCAGCACCGCAGGAGCAAGCATTCACACTGAGTGTAGTGTGTGTGTATGTGTGTGTGTGTGTGTGTGTGTGTGTGTGTGTGTCCGCGCGCGCACGCAAGTGTGTGTCAAGAGCATGACGAAGTTGACAGCACATCACTGAGATCCTTCCGGAACGCTGCGTTCTTCCCTCTCATGTCATTCAACATTCTCCTCATCTTACATGGACCACACACAAACACACAACCACACACACACACACACACACACACACACACACACACACACACACACACACACACACACATGCGCGCGCGCATGCCCCAGGGCTGGATTAACTTGCTCAACCAGCAGACGCCACAATTGGCCATGCCGGCGGCCGTCACCTGAGGCCATGCTTAGTGCTGTGATCCC